GGTTCTCACCCATCTTTGCTTTTCGCGGTCGAAGAAGAGTCGAATTCCTCGTTTCACTTCCTTGATGTTAAGCTAGATAGAAGGGAGAATGGAAAACTGTTAAGGTCGATTTACCGAAAGCCAGCATCCACTGGGCAGTACATTAATTTCAACAGTTGGGCACCTTAAGGGAGAAAGAGAAATCTTATTCATTCCTGATGCTCAAGAGTTCATAAAATCTGCTCTGCTGAGACAATTGACAGGGAACTTGATAACCTTAGATCAAATCTCTTTAGCAGTGGTTATCCTACTAGGTTTATTGAACGTAACATCAAGAAAGAATCCACCCCTAAACAAATCACAGTTCCAAAGGAAAAACTGTTTATGAGTCTGGCATTTGAAGGTGACACCATTTCAGAACTGGTTAAAAATCGTTTATCTAAATGTATTAAACGCACTTTTCCTGCACCTGACTTGCAACTAGTTTTTGCCAGTTAAAATATGATTATACAATGCGTGAAGGATAGATCACCGCTTTTGTCCGCATCTATGTGCATTTACTGTTTTACCTGCTCTTGTGGAGCTGTTTATATTGGACATTGTAAGCGTAATCTCCGAAAACGTGTAGCTGAACACTATCCGGTTTGGTTAATGAAAGGCGAACGTAGAACTGCAAAGTCGTCTATTTGTGATCACCTGTTAGAGTCTAGTCATTTAGCCCCACGTGATTCATCTTGCAAAGTTATCTACATGGCAAAATCGAATCGATCCAAAAGTTTACGTTTTCTTCACTTATGCATAGCCGAAGCTTTAGCTATACATGAACAGAAACCTAAATTATGTGTTCAAAAACGTTTTGTCAAACCCCTTTCTTTACCTTGGTCATAGTAATGTTCTTTCCAGTTTTAATTTTACTTTATTTTACCACTTGAATTCTTTCCACTTCACTTCACATCTTCATTCTTATCGTAATCGTACTCCGAATTTTTAAAATTTTTAGACAACACTTGACATTTTTGATATCAATTCACTTATAAAACAATCTTTAATAATTTTGTAATTTATTCACTTCAACTCTACGCCTTATAACACTTGAATTATCGTTATTCTTATCACATATATAAGTTTATTGACTGAGCAATTATCTAGTGCCATTTGATAACCTTTTTCTGTAATATAAATGCGACTGTACAGCTTGAAAATGGAGTCGTTGAATTGAAATCTCTTCGCTGAAGAAAAAACAGCTAGAAACATTTCATTTTGTAATTGTAAGAACCTGAAGAGAATTTTTTGAAAATAATATTCTCCGTTCAGATTGATTTTTGATTCATGGTATCGGAATATTTCACATTATTAATTTCAAATTACAGTTCTCCATTGAAACACTCATTGAATGAAATGCAAAGATGAATAAAGGAAATGAAAAACACTTTCTTCTGCATGGATGCATTATCAAGTTGCAAAGCTCTAATCTTATTTTCTTAAAACTACGTTCCATGGAAATAATTTCTGGCCTGTTAGTACCTATAGGTTAAACATTAACTCACACGAGTATTAGGAGTAACAGAGGAATTACATTTCTATTCTTGTTGTTATTATGTTAATATGATTCAATTTGTTGATATCATGTAGCCTATTTTGAACATTTTATCGGCATTTTCGTACCCCAGTAACATTCCCCATACACTTCCTTAACAATCAAATCATATTTCAACTCACTAAATTACGCCCTTCCCAAGTAACGTATATACTACCAAATAAACATTACAGTTATCATTACTTCACATAACAAACTCTTCTCTAAAACAAGTCGATATGCTTCCTTAACAATCACCTTGATTTATTACCTTTGTACAAGATTCAACGCTCTACATTTCAGAGTGAATTACTTCTTTTCCAAGTAATTGATATGTAGTTTGAAAATTCCCATTTAGTTGCATGTCTGCCGTACCCAGCATTCGCTTTCCAAGCGTATCACCCAACATCTACCAGCATGGTTTTACAAAGAAGAAAAACGATGTCCCCACAGCTCCATCTTAGAACATCTGATAGTATCCGGACACCAAGCTGCACCTCAAACAAACTTCAAAGTCGTCTGCAGAGTAAGAAGTAGTCTTCCTAAATTTGTACAAATCAGACTTCTTCAAACTGCAGAAGCAATGGCGATTCACTTGCTAAGCCCTGAACTCTGCATACAGAAGAAGTTCGTTTAATCACTACACTTGCAATGGAATTAATCTATCTTATTACCTGAATAGTAAATTCTACCTAATCTTTTTTTTCTGTCTCTTCATTGTTATTACTCCATCTTCTTAATTGTAATATTTTGCATTTTCAACTCTCTTGTTCTCTACCCATACCCGATCTAATTTCTACGCCTCACTACCACTGTTACTGACTTGACCAACGCTCGGTTTCTAGTCATTTATGTTACGTCATCCAACTTAATTGCTCAATTTCAGTTCTAATTTAAATGGCATTATTATCTACCCCACTTCTACGTAGTCTCTACCTGTAATTATCTCTGTTGCTATCCTGATCTAAGTTGAAACATTTTATTCAAATATATTACGTCATCTAACTTACTGACTCAATCTTACTTTAGCTGTTGTCCAACTAACCTTGTTTCTATATCAGATCATTATTTTATTACCTGATCAAATATCTAAACTTGACAAACCTCCTGTACACACACACTCACAAATAATTATATATAAATGCGATTGTACAGCTATGTGAATGAATTCGCCGAGAAGAGTCTCTTCGCTGAATGTCTTCTCTTTTTCATAAGTGACATGTCACAGTGCAGCTTGATAATGAAGTGATTTGCTTGATGCTGGTTACCAGTGGGGTTTACGCCATGCGTCTCCTCCTATTCGACACTAATCAGTGTAATGTTAATGCATCACAGTATATTACTATTGGTGTAGATGAGTTGACGGTAGATGAGTCCATCCTGTGAGCCGATATGTCGGGAGAGACCGAACATTTCACTACAGTAAACTAATTTCTAGGCTTGTTGATATATAAGTATACATGTTATTTCTTCATTCAAGAAGTCTACGTAATTCCCTATATATGTATGGATAAATATCACAAATAAAGAGACATATTGCTGAATCAACGGCTTGATGGATCAGTAAAACTATCTCATTATAGAAAACCTACCTGGATAGGACAGTGTCATAATTGCCATAGTTTCTGCCTGCCCTGTTCGGTACAAAAGAGCTTTAGTAAGGTGTCTCTTCAATTAAATCCAATGAATATACACTGATGAGCAACACTTGATGAGAAAGAAAGAAAGAAGGAAAGATGACACAAACTCAGGTTGATAACAATTATCCAGACAAGTTAGAGCACCAAGACCCACTCTATAACTTGCTCCTAAGAAAGACGTGTACATCAAGCTACCCTTTATGGGGGATCGTAGTAGCTTGATAACTAGACAAAGACTGAACGCTGCTGTTAAAAAATAAAAACAAATTTTCATGCAGCTAATATCATGATAATTGAGAATGTGAAGACAATATATCGATCTCAACCCTTAGAACATGCGAAATATTATGTCACATCCCACTATATTCACAAATTTGAATGTACGTGTGGGAAGAGACTCATCGATCTCTACAAGTAAGCGCTGGATTCATAGCATGTTCTCAAATGGCTCCAGAAACTGGTAGAATTCTAATAACATATTAACCGTGAGAACAGGAGACCTAGCTCCTCTATTGGGAAACACATTATAGAGATAGGGCGTAAAATTGATGTTTACCACGTCTTTTAAACCTGCCTATAGAAATCAAAACAATTACTCCCTTTGATAAATTTGAATAAAAAAGGCATTTAGAAGACAAATTTCGCGAGATAATTGTGCCACTTCGTGGTTTTTTTTTTACAACCGCTTCACAACTAACATGGTTACCAATAACAAAATAAAGTTCGTGACAATTACTCAGTTATGTGAAACAAAAGTACATACTAATGACCAGTCATATCCAAACAGGTGTTTTTGCCGTATCCTAAAGTTTGTGGAAGCGCCTGGCTGGCAATTATGAAGTTTAAACAAATTTTGTGCATTCAAAAACGATTCGTCATCACACTTTACAACCACCTTCCTTGCTAAATTTGCTTTTATACATACTAGGGCAGATTTTATTTGGTTTAGTTACCTACATTGTTATTTTCACCTTCACTGTGTCCTTTTACCTCATATTATCAATTTCATTTATGTATTCCTATGACAAGTCCGTTACCGTGTGTGCGTGTGTGTGTGTGTGTATGATCAGATTCTTCAAAGTGTGTTGAGCAAATACATACAATACACGATTCAGAGAAATCACGCCTTCTTCTTGCTTGGTCTAAATGAATATCAGTCATTTGGAGAATAAACACAAAACACTTAGGGAATCAATTAGCAAGCCAACCTTTTAGTCAAATAGACTCAGACGGAGGTCACTAGGTTATGAGACATGCAATGGCTGAATCAGTTTCACTGCATCAATGCATCACGATTCTGAACAGTTAGAATGAATGAATGAATGAAATATTACCGACCTATACTTCAATTTGTAGAAATAAGTAGGTTAACCAGTGTAACAATGCAAACACTTATCATGCAGTCATTAGGAAGCAGTGCTTCTCCTACATGTATCATTAATTAACTATTGTCAGAAATTTATAAAGTTATATTTGTTAATTCTCAGAAATACCTAACAACCCTTCTATTTGAACTTTACGCCAAATAAAACAATGAAAACAAAGCATGTACATACTTAGGGAAGATATTTCACTGTTGTTTTTATTGTCACTGAAAAGGGAGTGACGATTATGTTGAACGAAGTCTATAGAATTATGTGGAGGCTATTTCCATTATTATTATTATGTAGAATGACATGTGAAATTATTGATGGAACAATGAAAGTTTACCACAGTTATCAGTTTTAAAGTGAATCGTTCCTCCGGGTATATGAATAATGGATGTGAATAGTTACACAGTAAATTGTTCAAATATGCCATAGGATGTAAGTAAAAAAAAGGAGATTGAATACTCTGGGAATGATATGATGACAAGAGAAATCGATAACATTCATTTTATCCCTTGTGTACATTTGAATCACAAGTTGATAATGTGAAGAATGAAACCAGTCCACATGAATAACTCCCATTTGATATGCAATTGGTGACAGATGTTAATAAGCAAGGAATCAGATAGTTTATTTGATATTTAGTTTAATAAATATTTTGGTTGGTAAATGGGCATGTTAATAGTTAGCTGAGTCAATAGTCAAACTGCAAACTCACTTACATTTTATGAATAGCATAAGACATTTCGGAGTGAAACCCAGTCTGTGTGTGTTAAGATAAATTTCCACTTGACATATTAGATATTCCACTTCATCCTGATTCAAATCTATAAATGTATTTTAATAGTTAGAAATATGCTTCATAGGCAGGCACATAAAACAATGATGATTATTTTCCAGTTAAACTAACTTGTTTGATGGTATATACCATTTGGCGTTGATTTCTGTGATCGTTTAACTGTACGAAATGGCTTACACTGAAGAATGCACAAAAAAAGTAGACGAAATTGTTCCATTCGCCAGATATATATCACTGTATTGAATATTGACTGCATATAAGTGAGAATAGAAAACATCTCTCTTAAATTCAATATAATACGTAATTTTATAAATGCTCCATTCGGATCTTTCAAGAATGGATTTGATATTGCAAAAAATATGATCGAAGCAGCTGGGATAGACAGCAGAAATGTTGTTCCTGAAATAATCAGCAGTAGAATACATGCTGAAAGTTCGCTGGATTTAGTTGACTGTGTTGATGTGGCTATTTGTCGTCTTTGTCGCAACCAGAGGTATATTTTAAGTAATAACACTCCATTCAGTAATCCGTTGATTGCAGTTTGAGCAAAACATGCTCCGGAGAATAGACCATAATAAAAGTAGAGAAATAGATTAGATGGTACCTTATAACATAAAATTTTGTTGGAAAACACAGTCCAGTCGGACTCAAGAATGATCGGTATAATAATGAGAACAGCTGTTATGAAGGTACTCAATACAAAATACCAAGCATTTCGTGAAGTAAATCGGCTAAATTGCAGAGGGTATTGAATAGCTAACAATCTATCAAGCATTGTGGTAATTAACATATTCCCTCTGAATGTATTCAACAATCCTAGTGCACTTCGATATAACTTACATCCGATACTTGAAGTATTGTTTATGGAGAAGAATATAGTTCCGTTAGATGCATATGGAATACCTTTGGCGGGGAATAATCTCAATGTAGCGTCGAGAAGGCAAGCACATAGATCTATTAACGAAAGAACTCCAAGATAGATAACTTGTCTTGTTTTTTGTTGATAACCGTGAAGGAATATGACAGCATTGATCACATTACAGATGACATTGAATAGAACTATGAAAGGCAAGATGTAGGCGCATAGAATACCATTCAGTGTTGCAATGTTGCACAACGCTGGAGTTGACTTTGGACTTCCTCGTTTCACATTGTCGCAGTCAATTAGCATATCCCATGGATTATCAAAATATGGATATGTAGAAACATTGTGCTCCATCACTGCTGCTCTGAGAACTTGAGAATCACACCAGATTCTGATAATTTGGCATATTTATAAATATGCACACACATATATATATGTATACGACTGTCATCTGAGTTGTATTCAAGGTAACGGATATGTGAAACGCCCTCACTTATTCTTGTTGTTATTGTTGTTGTTGTTATTTCTCCATATCTGAATAAATATATCATGTAAATACCTTATTAAGCTATCCAAGTGACTACAGCTAAAATTGTAGGATAACACTGAGTAGGCTATTTGCAGTCTGATGTGTTTTTTGTTTTTGACATGCTGTCGTGGACTTAAAATCTCTGATTCGTCTAACTTTCGATGTTGTTTTTTTCATCATTTATTCACAGGAATGACGTAATCTACTCACAGGATACTTTTGTAAATATGTTTTGAGAATTTTCCATGGTACATTTGCATATAGTATTATCTTCTCCACTATTTTTTATTTAGACCGAATATCGAACAGGTTTTCGTGATTTGCTGGCATATATTTTGGAGGGAGGGGAGAAAATATCACATACACACACACACAGAAGAAAGTTAGAAAATAGTTGATCTTAATAGGTTTGCATGAACAGTTTATTTACATTATTATTACCTAATAATAATTTCAGGCAATTGTGATCCTGAATTATCTGCATAAAGCGTTTCTCTATTTTTGTTTGTTGTGTCTGATTCTTACAGAGAGAATTTTGAGCGAATCTTATTCGTTATTGAATATATATATATACATATATTTGTGGTTGAGTTTTGTTTATCACTTTGGCTGTACAGGTATGCATTTAGTATCTGATGAGAGATTTTTGAGCTGATTAGCCGTTCGAATAGGAAATGTTCAACTGTTCTATCCATCTAAACCGCTGCTTTTCATAGTGTGAGCTGCAGGATAATAAAACGCATCAGTGCGTATCACTCTGGTATGTTACTCAACTTTGATGAATTTACTGATATGAGAACCAACGTTTTTGAATCAATGACTACTGGTTTGAAAATTGAACTTATATTTTTGTAGGAAATGGGGAGGTGGGAGATTTTTATACGTGAATAGGAAAATATTTTCACCAGAAATAGTATGTTAGTATAAAGGCCACAAGATAATGTGACAATGGTGAGAAGAGTTATATGAGCAACCTTCAGATAGAAAAAGGAATTATGAAACAGAATAGAAGATATGGAAAAATAAACATTATTATCTAAAAGGAGTGAGCGAAGAAATAATTTTCAATTAGATAAATATATATATGGAGGATTTCGTCATGAGCTGACATCAGTTAGAGAACCACCGGAAAACCTTGGAGTACTGGAAAGCTGTTTCGTCTTATTTTAGGACTTCTTAGCAGGACCTTCTGGTTAAAAGGCGAGATCGTATACCATTAGGCCATTGGGACCCGATCCAATGGCTCTTGAATTCTAACTTCTGGCAGTTCACGACATAGCAAGACCATTTCGCAATGTCTTCTTGGATGAGTTACTGCCTCATCTCCGGCCTGCTGTACCCTACTGCTCACGGCTTCCCACTGGGTTCGAACGCCGGTGGGCGCGTACTGCTGAGGAGTCCCGAACTACGACGAAAAAGCTGTCGGGTACACCCAGGTTTTCCAGTGGTTCTCTAAATGATATCAGCTTATGGTGCGATCCTCTATACATTCAAACAAAATCCCTACAAAACCAATACTTGAATATATATATATATATGGTGAGAGCAGGTTGCTAGCCAATTGGTCGACATTAATCTACGTCAATGTCTAGGTCACTAATATGGGCCGTGAGAAAGCATGAACAAGGCTGTTTCAACAACCAATCACAGCAAACGTAAACGTGGGCAAATATGATTCGCAGATAGATGACTCCACTTTACAAGGAACTCGAAAACAACCAATCAGAAGACTGCGTTTGTCTACTTGAATAAGCTCTAATACTGTACATAAAATATGTATAAATACGTGCTGATTTCCGTAATAAAATGATCTGTTACCAGCTCTTGTCTTCTGTTGTTACATATATATAACATTTTATTACAATACACAACAACTTACCAATCAATTGGCACGGATATGTTTATTAACAATAATTAGTCAGTATCAACATGTCAATGGAGTAGGGTGATAATTAACAAAACAATTAGTCCGATTGATAAATTTGAATAAGGCATTTAGAAGACACATTTCGTGAGATCATATCATTTTGTAGTTTCTTTACAACCGCTTTACCACTGACATGTGTAACAATAATATAATAAAGTTCATGACAATTACTCCGTTCTATAAAAACCAAAAGTACATACTAATAATGATCAGCCAGATTTAAATAGGTCAAGTGGTCCATGATAGGCGAAGGTTGAAGTCTATTGTTTTCGTACACATAGGTGAGGATATATGTGGTGATTAATGCAAAGTACTTCAATGACCTTTAATAACCAAACTTGAATTAGAGTTATGCGATGAATTAATTTTGAAGCAGTCATTAATCTTCATTTTGTGGCCTGATATTAATAAGTGCTTTGTAATAGATGATGATGGATTTCTATTCAGAACGATTGCATTTGGAATCTCGATGTGACACAAAAGCCATTTGGGAACTTGTTCTTTTCGACGACCACACTGGAACATTCCATTGGTTCTACCTATACATGTGTGTGTGTCACAACAACCGGTGGTGAACTTGTAGATACAGTGTGAAGTAGAATCCATAGAATTTCATCGCTAAAACGTAAGTACAAGGGTCGGAAGTGTTCGGCACGTGGGGCAAAGAGATGAGGCGTAGAATGTGCGTTTGATGTCTGACCGAAGTCTTTGAGTTGGCTGTCAACTGCATAATCTGGTCACCCTTGAATGGTAGGCTAGTAAAGATAGATAGCTTTCCCTGGTACAGAAAGTGTCTTTTCTAGATGTGATCTGTCCTTAATGTAACAAGTAATGAAGTTTTCTGGATAACCAGTAGCTAATAAAACTGAATGTATATGTAGAAACTCATGCATCAATGTGTCACTTGCGCATATTTTTCGGGCCCTTGAGAACAAACATTTCACTAGGGAAAGTTTATACTGGATAGGAAAAAACTGGTGAAATGACAATATTGTCTATGTTTGTTTACGAAAAATAGATCACCTAATCGTTCCTTTATCTCTCCTGGTCATTGTAATATCCAGGAAACCGAGTTTGTTATTCGATTCGAGTTCGAGAGTCACTCGGATATTTGGATGAATGTGATTATATAGAGTAATAAAGTTTTCAACAGATTTACTATAATTACCAATAATTAGAGTATCATCCACAAAACGTTTATACAACATAAATTAACCAAGCATTAGTTGCATTTGTCTCTCCAATTTCGACATGAATATATCTGATAACAGGGGTCCAAGAGGGCTTGCTATCGCAACACCATAGATTCGTTAGTATGCCTTTTTTTGGAAGGTGAATCTAATATTTTCTGTACATATAAGGATGATGTTTCCGATGTAAGTGACAGGAATAGGTAAGTTTATCCCATTGCTTGTGATGTAATCGCAAATGAAATCAACAGTTTCATGAAGATACGAAATGATATCATCTCACAAAATTTGACTTCTAAACGCCATTTCCATATCTGAACAATTATAACTTGTAAAGAAGTTTGAAATGGTCATAAGAATAAGACAATTCTGCAACGATAACATGTAATTGAAGATGAAGTAGTCAGAATAATAATAAAATAATTTGGACAATTACAATTTTTAAAGATTTACAGAGAGGAAGTCTTAAGTAGTCTGGTTTATGCATACATTCATGTAACGATCGCCAAGGTGAAGAAAAGTGGCTTTACACATGTTTTCTGAACACCTAGGTTTGTCTTCTTCAGGTGGATTCCTATTTCTTAAGATGTATGTAGAAATCCAGAAATCTAAAAAATAATGCTTTTCACTGTCCTTTCAATATGTGTATTTTACCACATAGGTGTTAACTGGTAGAGACAGTTGGAGATAACACGAGAGAGGAGTCGTACATACTTTTGACTGCCTTGACATTACTGTTTTCATACAAAGGTACATGCCTTAGGATTGTTTACACTCATTAGCAGGGAACGATTTTTAAGGATATAGGATTAACTGTCAGTCCAACTAACTCTTCACTGAACTCAGTACATTTTTCTGTACTTATTTTATTTTTGAAGATCGTGACAATATATCGTATATAGCCAGTAAGTCCAATATTCTTTTGCAATTTGCTCATATATAGGCATCATTTATGCGGTAAGAATTTTGAAGGAATCAACAAAATAGTATGAGCTCATATTATTCATTCTTGTAACGTTCAACTACCTCAATGGGAAGAATTAATTGTAACAGCAAGAGCCGAAATTAGCAGATGATGAACATGTTAGATGAACTTATAACTCATGCAAATGATCCAGGATTCGATACCCCGCCACGGACGCACTACTTCACCTCGCTGAAGTAGTAATAAAATAGCTGGCAAAGAGGAAAGGTTAAGTATAGAGCAAGCAACCCTATTTTGATGAATTTGGTTGTTGAAGATAATGTAAGTTTTAACTATACAACCTTGAAACTTGATATATCTGAAAACAAATTACTACGAAATCTAATTCAACATTTTCATTTGTGTAGTCCAGTCGGAAAATGAAATATCTAAGGCATTCACTTATTCTTACAACGAAAACTTCATGTGATTTTGCGTGATCGCTGATCTGACGAAGCATCAGCGGGAAAAAGCAGACAACTGAGTGCAGTAGACGTAAGCGACACCACTGGAAGGACAAGTGAACTTCAGAACTCATTGAAAGGTTATCCCTTTTAACCTGGTACCTCTTCGTTGTATACATTCACAGTCTTATGAAATATCGGGTTGGAGACTGCCATGTTTCACAATATAACCAGGTTGATATTCAGTCTAAATGGTGAAATCTAATAGCGATAAAGAGTAACCGTAATTAGTGTCAACAGTGAGTATCTGTCCACCACTACTCAACATATTCAGTTGGAATTTTGGAGAATTTATCTTAAACCTACTTACGTATAAGTAATAAAAATTATTAAGTCCATGTATTTCTTGGAGGACTGACTAAATCTTGAGTCGCATGACTGGCCCTTTGAGATGAATTATTAAAAACACCTGAAACATTAAGTGAACCATTTTTTTAGCTTTCCTGATATCTCAGTGTGCTGTGTTTCAATTATTTTTTAAATTATCATTCTCCTTATAAGATGCAGAAAACGTCTTGATGTCTGAAAGACATTTTAGCATTTCGTCAATGTATACTTTATATCCATTAATGTCCATTAAAAATTCTGTTATATTTTCTATCTTTAAAAACAAAGTATGCAGATTCTAAACAACGTTTCAAGCATTTCATGATATCTTCTACTTTTAATGAACGCTTAGCTAAATCTCGTAATTGCATTCAAGAGTATACTTCATAATATCAAGTGAATCAGATAAAGGAACGCTAGTAAATAGAGAAATAATATCAGCACCTGCAATATAATTTCGTATTCTGTGATAGTGATATACATCGCTTACCTTTTAAACTCCTCAGTATTTCTAGT